AAAGTCAAATTGCGACGATGGCAGTCAATGTTAATTAAACATGCTTGTTTAAGCTTTTTCAATAACTTATAATACAATATTAGTACAATTTGATACACGTTAAGTAAGTTAATTAAACCAAAAATTTACTTATAAAACGTATAATTTGAAGATCTGGATTTTGGTGTTCTCGGTTTTCGTTAACCATTATTGCATTATTAGATGTCAAAAGGAAGGAAATTAGAACTATTAAGGAATAAACGACGAATGGTAGGACATAGAAAATGAGTAATTGCATTCCAATTACCATCATAATAGCAATTCTTTCGCTGTAATGAATTCTGAATAGCAATGGCAAGAGAAGATGATAAAATCCCACATTAGTTATAATACGAAGGATCATAAAGAACCACTTAAACAGAGTTGCAAATCTTCTTGTCCCATCCTCTTTACTACGAAAAAGCAGGTCTTGTAAAAATCCTAACACCAGCAATTCAACAAGCAAAATCGTGGGTCCATATATGTATAAAGGATTGCAGTATTTCATCCCCACATAAAAGATTGGGTATTTTTCAGCAATGAGATCTGACATTTTGATGCATGCGTATGCATAGAATGCAATTTTGGCAAACAAAAGACAGTATCCTGTAATAAAGAAGGGTTTATACTGATCATAATTGCCACGATTGATCATTAAATAAGCCAGTAGAACCACAGTGCATAAAACACCAAGATACAGATCCAGTCCTGCGCTGCAATTGAAAAACTTGTACATTCCTGCCATTAACGGACCAAGAGACATATTTTCTAACACTGTCAGTACATTTTCTGGTATAACTGCGCCACTATAGTCAGTAGCCATATTATATAAATCATCTAACTTTTCCATAATGTTATTCATATTTTTGGGGTCAATCACACAAAATTTTACATTATAAAAAATATCATAAAAATACAAAAACAAAAAATTCTTACACTTAGTGTTAATAAAGACTATCTAAGAGGTTGTAAGTAAATCGAATATCTGTCTTTATGTGTTGTGATACACCATTTTCTAAAGTTGATGATCTATTAAACTACAGCTCATCAATGAAACTGTTTGTATGCTTCATCAAATTCCAAGAACTCCATCAATGAACTTGACACTTAATTAGAAACAGAAATACTGAGGCAAGCTAACATGTATATCAATAATACTCTCAATTGTTAATAGACAATCATAACCATGACTTAGTCTCAATCTATTTGATGTGATTGCTATGTTTATACTTTAATTAATCTATTACACTACCCAAAAGATAATGCTGGTAGCTTCTGTAATGAAATTCAATTTGGTTTTAGATTTCTATGAGAGTGTGAATGACAATATAACAGGCAAGTTTAGAACCATCATTCTCGGTTATGATACGGCTCATCTTCTTTGTTGTATTTTTGATATTTTACAATCAGGCCCCATGATAACAGAGCTTGGAAGCTCCATAAACGCAACACTACAAAAACTATTTAAAGGCCAAGTAAACGACGAAACAGTTGAGAACTCTTTAAAGGAGATATGCACTTCCCTGATTAGGTCAAATGCCAATCCGGAGCTGGTGTCGCGCTTTCGTTTGCAGATAAAGGAACAGATTGAGAAAGAGAAAATAGACAGCAATGCTAACAAGGCAAAAAGTGGTGCATAGAATATTTTTTGAAACTCTTGTGAGGTTTCTTGATCCAGGCAGCAAGCCATACGAAATACAAAAGGAAAAAAGCAATGTTGTAGTGTTTGTGGGACTACAAGGTTGTGGAAAAACAACTTCGATATGCAAGTATGCAAATTTTTACAAAAAGAAAGGATTTAGAGTCGGGATTGTATGTGCAGACACGTTTAGAGCAGGAGCTTTTGATCAGATAAAGCAGAATGCATCTAAGATAGGAATTCCATATTTTGGGTCCCCCGATCCTGATCCGGTAAAAGTGGCCAAAGAGGGTGTTTCTAAATTTAGAAAGAATGATTTTGAACTAATATTGGTTGACACGAGTGGAAGACATACGCAGGAAGAGGCCTTGTTTGCTGAAATGAGGGACCTTGTCGATGCCATTTGCCCTGATAATATTGTTTTTGTGATGGATGCGGGGATAGGACAGTCGGCCGAGGAACAAGCAGCAGGGTTTAAGAATGCAGTTAAGGTTGGTGGAATAATACTAACTAAAATAGACGGAGCATCAAAAGCCGGAGGGGCACTGAGCTCAGTAGCAACTACGCAGTGCCCCATTGAGTTTGTTGGAACTGGTGAAGGAATGGACGATATTGAAAAATTTAATGCCAGAAGATTTGTAGGGAAAATGCTAGGTATGGGTGATATTGACGGGCTTATTGAAAGGCTGTCATCAATTGAGATTGATAAGGAGGATGTTATAGAAAAACTGACAACGGGGAAGTTCCGATTGATTGATTTCAAAAACATTTACACCCAAATTGTGTCGCTGGGGCCCATCTCTAAAATGCTTGAGATGATACCTGGACTAGGTAATATGGCCATACCCGACGAGAGCAAGTTTAAACGGATAATGCACATGTTTGATTCAATGACCAGGAAAGAACTTGAGTCAAATGGAGATGTGTTCTTAAAGGAACCAAGCAGGATAGATCGAGTGGCGCGTGGATCTGGCACGCATAGGGACCTAGTTTCAGAAATGTTAGGCAACTTCCGGCAGATGAGCTCGATGATGAAAAAGCTTATGGCGAATCCAATGTTTGCACAGATGCTTCAAGGCACTTTGGATGAGAAAGACAAGAAGAAGATAGTAGAAAAGACGCGAGGCAAGGCCCCTTTGTCAATATTTGATTATATGAACTCTCTGAACTAAATAAAGCAGAAAATATTTTTAACATCGTTCAACAATGTCTTAGCATTTCTATTTACTACTTTGCCTAGTTGCATTTTACTTTATGACAGCATTCTTGAGGATTTGCTGCAAAATTTCAAAATTATTAAAGATTGATTGATTTTAAGATAAGCACATCTTTTAACACATATCTGGAAAAAGCATTGCTTACTATTATGCTAAAGCAAAGTAGGCTAGCCGTTCAACCTTTTATTTTCTATACATGCTGTAATCAGCAATCTTCCTATGGCAAGACTAACTAACAATGATAGATTTCCATAATACTAATTTATTACATTTTTGAGTAAATAACGCTTCAAAAGAAATCACTTGCATGCTCTTTTAGACACACAACTCCCAAGCACAGTATGATTAAGCCATCTAGCGGGGATAGAACTCTAAAGTCCTCATTTATCTTTCTTAATCAGTCTATACATTTTATCCAAATAATCTCCTGCATCCTGTGCACATTGGAATATTTCAACAATGCCTCCTCTGACCTGATCGACTAGCTTCAAGTTACTCGATTTTACCTTTACTAATTCCTTTAGCATTATCTTTGTTTTCTCATCTGTTTCTTCGTGATATTTCTTAACCAAGGATTCAATAGCAAAGGATTCATTCCTAGCATACTCCAAAAGCTCAAAGACTTGCATGCGCAATCTTAAACATTTCAATGTCTCAACACAATGGTCTCTATTGCAGAATTCATAGAAATCAAAAGGCTCGTAGCTATAGGCGTCTGACATAACATAGTCCTTTGAAATGTCAGGAATGTAAACAACTTCGTTCTCGATGCTATTGGTTTTTCTAAAAAACTGCTCACAGATAGAATATTCATCGCCTTCTTTCAAAGGCTCATCCGAAATTCTATCAGCTGGATTCCAAAGCCTCATTTTGCGGCTGTGCTTGATGTTGTCTTTACTCATTACTTGGGATGAAAATTTTATTGGCAAAAAACTAGAAGTAGGAATAAATTCAACAGTCAGTTTGATGGTGTTTTGGACATTCTGGCCAATTTTCTTTGATCAATATAGTAGCAACATTGATGCACCCGTCCCATGCTCTCCGGGCTATTAAAGTATGACTTTAAAATGTTTACATATTACAGAAAATTACCAATTAAGTCTAAAAATGATGTTTTTAGTTCTGATCCATCAAAAACTGTCAAAAGATTAAAAATTTCTGACCCTTGTGCTATGAATATTTCTAAAATGATGGAAAATACCAGCAGCAAAGCTCTTGACAATATTTCCACAGATGACAGTTATGCATATAGTATCTTCTTTTTGATTAGAGATGGTATTGGACTAGGAAACATCAATATATCCTCTTGGATATGTAGTATTAGAGAAACAAGCACAGAGCTGGAGCCAGTAGGATTTGTTTTTACAATCCTAGGAGAAGTGCTTAAGCTTTATACCTCATGCCTGAATCATTTTCTCGTGATCACCGTTATTATTTATTTTATGTGTGAACTCAAAAGGGTATGGAGTGATGATGGAGTGAGGTTCAACATACCATTCCAACTTTTCTGTGTTTTTGAATTCGTTAAACTGTTTCTATCGATGCTATCTTTTAGCATTCTTTTCTATAGTAGTTATAGACCTAATATTACAACAATTAATACATTGAAAAAAGCAGTTACAAACCTCCCAATCGTAGTTATGCTGGCTGATGCATGCTTTGTGATATTAATCAATAGGAACATCCAATACTTTTTCTTTAAAAAGGATAGAAAGATCCTTGATCTAAAGTATGTATCCGCTATAATAAAATCTATCCCTCTCTTGATTTATTCTACCACGCTAATAACTTTCGCATTTATTACGTGGGACATGCCAATCGTAGAATTCAAGGTTTACGGCTCTATGCTGGCAATAGCTATTGGCGCATGCGTTAATTTTATCATCACATTGCTGTTTTTAATGCAGATCAATTACCATCAATATTTAAAGAGGACCACCGCTGTGCTTGTATGAAAAACGTTATACAGAAGTTTTGTGTTACGATCTATTATTAAAATAGGACACATAGTTTTATTGAAAAAACTGATATAACAGCCCACATCAACGGTCATTTATAATTTCTCTTCAAAATTAATCGTGATTCTAGGTTAAATTCACCTACTATTTTTGAAACGCTTATCTTGTTTCAGGTAAAAAATAGTATTTATATTTGTAAGTATGTTTAGACCCATGGGAAGCAAAGAAGATAAGAAAAGCAGTAGTGAGAATGCATCTGAAAAAGCCTGCTTCATCAAAAAATACCTCGAGGGCTGCAAAGAACAAATTAAAAGCAATGAAGTTATAATTAGTATTGGCTCTGAAGCATGCGATCCAGATTCCTTTGTCTGTTCCCTTGCAGTTGCAATACACGAAAAGGCGATTCCCGTGGTAAATATGTCAAGAACAGTCTTTGAATCAAAAGGAGATTTGCAATACCTTTGTTCTATATTTAAGATTTCCAACAACGACTTAATCTTTTTAGAAAGGCCAAAGGGCAGGTTTTCACTACCTGCACGTATTGTTGGAACCTCCTTCAAAGTAGGCGACAAGTCATACAAAATTGAAGATAAGAAAATGAAGCTCATTTTAGTCGATCATCATAAGCCAGTAGAGGAGCTGAGGCATTGTGAACTTGATATGATCATTGATCATCATGCATTGAGTGAAGCCTCCTTGTTTGCCAGGAGAATCTATGTAGACATTGATGCTGGATCTTGTTGCACTCTAGTTTCAAAGTTTATTGGACACTCCTTATTAGCAACTAAAAATCCTAAGAACGAATACTTCGATAAGATTCAGTTTTGTAGACATCTTGCAAAGATGCTTGCGATACCCATTCTGCTCGATACAAACAGATTCAGAAAGGTAACTTCACACTTTGATCGGGGAGAATTCAAAAAATTGATCAAAGCAGCCGATGTCAAAAAAGAGGATATTGTGAATATAGTGAAAACAATCAAAAAGGTAAGGTTAAATGACAAGGATCTTGACAATGAAACAATACTTTTGAAAGATTTTAAGAAGTTCGACAAGGATGGAATGGTTTTTGGGTATTCTACAGTTAAATATAGCTACGAGGAGTGGGTGGACAGAGAAGCCAAGAATGTGAATACAAGCTCAGAAAGCAAGGCAGGCTCGGTCCTAGAGGCCGCTTTTCATGCATTCAAGAGAGAGTATGGGCTAGATTTTCTACTTGTCAATAGAAAAGCAGGTAAAAAGAGGTTTTTAATAATGGTTAGCTGTCCTTTCGAAAAGAAATTAGCAGCCCAGCACAACTTTAAGCACGTGGATTTTAAGGGCTTGCATTATTACGAGATTGACGTTGAACTGAGTAGGAAAATATTAACGCCGGCGATTAAGGATTTGATACACAACCTATCATTGAAAGAATAAACAGTTGATTTCATGTGCTTTCGTTAAGTTAGAACTTATTTATGAAATAGGTTAAATAATCCCTGATATTTAAGTTGCACGTAGCTTTTCCTAACGGGGAGAGCAATACTGTGAAGATAGTCAAAAATAAAAAGATGTGACCAGTCTCAATCGTAAAGAATTGTATATTTAGAGTAGTCGGTGTTAGATCTAAACAGTTTATTATCGATACATTTGGATATACCGGCATTATATTAATAAGCCTTTGATTAAATTCATTGTTGATTATTCTCATGTATGCAAAGTCCCAATAGCTGTTTCTGCTTTTTGTCTTTGATTTCAAATTTTCTAATATTTCTACTAGCTATTTTAGCATGCGGCCAACTTCGGGAATACTACTGAGAGCGAGCATACTTATTAGTGTGGCTTTGCATCTGCTAACAAGTCTAAGCTTTACAAGATGTCTTAAGATTATAAGATGCATAGATTTCGATGGTGTGGCAAACTTCATACCTGGCTAATTTCCTAGACGGCTGAATAAGGTCTTCCAATATAAAAGTATTCTTTTGACATTTTATGCCGCTTAGAAACCAGAACAGAAGAACTAAATAGTTGTGCATCAGCCATTCTGAATTTCAAATAGATGGGTCAACTATACTTCAAATTATTTATTCAAAGGTTTACTATGAATAAAGTCCTGACTTTGAGATGCAAAACGAACTTTACGCGTTGACTGATTGTTGGGATTGGTGAATGCGCCTGGATTTGAACTTTTTGCATCGGTTTTGAGATTTTCGCTTGATTTATTCACATGAACCTCTGCTTCGACTGCTATGCTAGCCTGACTGCAAGTATCACCTTTTGTTCTATCCTGTTGCTTGCTATTCCCACCAACCTTGACATTACTACTGATACTACCAGTCACATTGATACTGTGTTCTAGAAAAGGCTGCTGTTCAGGATTAGGGTTTCTAATAGGCTGCATGGAAACACCATGTTCAGTTTTACTTGGGCTAACATTCATATCCCCAGCAGTACGAGAGCCTTTGATAATACCAGGCAGTTTCATAAGGTAAATCAAATATAGAGTTCCAATAACACCCTCATCAATCACACCCCACTTCATATAAAGATTCGAATACCCATGTGCTCCAAATATCCATTCCATGATTACAGCTGTCATCTCCAATACCGTGCATGCCCAAAAGCCGACCATGGGAAAGCTAATCTTGACTATGAATCTTAAGAAAGCATATAATCCGATTATAATAAAGTTAATAAACATTAGCCACAAAGCTACATTAAAGCTAACAAAAGGAACAAGCAATACTACAGCACAGTCCTCGATCCTTGTGCACTTTGCCCGGAGATGGATATAAATTATATAGCACATGAAGGTAGAAATTATCCTGAAGATTACAATAAGTATATATTCCAACTTAGTAATCATAGTGTCACTTAAGGATTTAAAGCATGGACATGGCCTGTAGAAATAGGCATTCTTGCCATTGCTGATTTGCCATTTAAAATGGTTGATGGCAATATACCAAGTGATAATGGCCAATAAAACGTAGATAAGACAAATGCCCAATTCGACATTAGGCAGCGAGGCAGCGTAAGAAGCGAGGTCGTCCAATATGAAACCACTGGGAACTATGCTGTTTGTATCGCCTTGTGACTGCATTCCATTCTGAGTGCTTGACATAATAAGAGATAAAATTTTTAGATCAATTTAAAAATTTTTGACAGAAATGAATTAAGGTTATTCTAGTAAAACATTGACAAATCAAGCCAAGAATCAGACACTAAAATTCAGGACTCGAACACAGCAATGACACCCCTACACACGGTCTGAACATCTTCGGATAGCACGGTGCAAAAATTTACTATGATCTGTCAAAAACATCATAATTATCTCTCAGATTAAAATAACTGAAGAACACGTCTCCTAACAACAATTTTAATATAAAAACCACGGGGAATTCAATATTGCAATGTGTTTACTTACTTTTCTTTTTGAGAATTGAAATGCATCCCCTCATGCTCTCCACCAATGCACTCTGCTCTTCGACCACCCTTTCGGTCTGTCTTAGTTTTAAATTGAGTAGGTTGTTTTCATTTATCAATCTCACCACCTCTTCTTTGTTTTCCCTCTGAATTTCAACAACCTTGACTTTATTTAAAAGCCCACAGTTACAGCTTAGAAGCTTCTTTCGTTCGATGGTTTTTAATGCATCCTTGTCTACAACAAAAGAGCTGACTAGTCTTTCTCTGATTAAATTACCACCATCAATGCTGTTGTTACTGGCATTGCTTAAATTAACGGGATTGTCATGGGCATTTATGGCCCCTTCCAAATTACTGCTAAGCTTCTGCATCATCTCTGATAATCTGCTTATCTCAGCTTCCTTCTCAGCTATCTTTACATTTGCCTCATTCAACTGCCTATTCAAGGCCTCAACCCTTTCAGCAAATGGCTTTACTGCTGAGTTGATTTTCCTTGACACTTCCCCATCCGTGATTTCATGTCCAATCAGCTCCTGAACCTTACATAAATTCTTCTTTAATTCTTCCTTCTTTTGGAGTATCTCACCCATTTCTTTATTATATTCCCTTTTGATCCTTTCAATCTCGTCTTCTCTTTCATCAAAGCGTGTTTGCAATTTACCAATATGGTCTTTTAGCTCTCCTATTTGAATCAAGCTACTCTCGTTATTCACTGTCAAAGCATCAATCTCAGTCTTAAGAAGACTATTCTTTTTGAGAACATCTTCAATTTCCCTCTTTAACAGCATGTTGGCATTTTCATGCTCTTTTAGCGACTCATTCTCAGATCTAGCAATGGATAATTCATTGGAAAGCCTAGAAATTTCATTAATCAGGCTTTCAATTTGCAGATTTTTAGAATCTAAAATCTCAAAAAACTTTATCTGGAAAAGGTCTGAAATCAAATTAGCCTCATTTCTGACGCTTTCCAGACCCTCCTTAAGCTTAATCACATCAGTCTTTGGTACAAAATTATGCGTAAATTCTGATGCTACTTTTATGCAACTCTCTTCGGACTCCTTAAGTTGTTGATTCAGCTCCCTAATCCTATTTTCTAGAATAGCATTTCCAGTCTCGAGCTCATTTACCTTTCTTTCATACTGTTTTTTTATACTTTTCTCATTCTCTAACTGCTGATTTATTTTGTCAAGAATAGACTCCATTCCTTCATCATGAGAAGATGACCCATTGGCAATATCGCTGCGCAGCTTCTCATTCTCAAGTCTTAATTTATGAATTTCTAGCTGCAGAGCCTTCCTCTCTTGATTCTCCCTGCAATCAACTAGGCACAGAGCCTCGATCTTTTCCTTTGCTAGTCTTTGGTTTTCCTCATACATCTCATCCTTTTCTCTACTTAGTTCAGAGTTTATGCTTTCGAGATTAGACAATTTTAAGCTTAATGTCTTGATCTGCTTGTGCAAAGACACGACAGTTTCCTGGGTTCCGTTTTTAATAGACTTAAGCTCTTCAATTTTAGATTCAAGACTTTTTGCCTGTTCCTGGTTGGCCAATAGGCTGCTTTCGAGGGTGTTTGTCTTAGCCTTGAAATACTCCAATTCTTGTTTTAATGCTGATATTTGTCTATTGTTTTCTTGGGTTATGTGCTCCTTCTTTCTAATTTCACCCTGCAAGCTTTCATTTTCAAATTGAACATCATCAAATTCATTTTTAGTCTTTCGAATAACATCGTCCTGACAACTGATCTTCTCTTCCAAAGCTGAAATAGTATTTTTGTGTGCTGAGCATTCCCCTTTGACCAGCTCATTTTCTGTCTTAATATCGCATACCATCTTCTCCAATTCGTCTTTGCTCTTTAATATTTCGTTGATTTCACTCTCCTTTAGTTTCAAAACTGAATTTAAATCCCCACCCTTTTGGACAAGATTTGAGATGGTCTCCTCTTTACTCTTTAGTTCCTTGTTTGTCTGTTCGAGCGCTGCATTTAGATCCTTTATCGCTGCACAGTGGTTTTCTTCTTTAATTTCACATTGTCTTACTTTATCCTTTAAGGACTCGATGCTCTTAGATTGTTTGTCGAGACTAGATAATAGCTCGGTATTCTCCCTTCTTAGACCTTCAAGTAAACCTTCCTTCTCATCCAAGGCTAGTCTTGAAAGGTCATTGGTCTTTTTAAACTCCTCTACGGAGTTATTCAGGGATGAAATACATGCCTCCATCTTCTTCCTTTCCTTCCTTTCCCTTTCAACAAGATCTGCATATGCTCTAATCTGCTCGTCTTTTTCTCTGATGCTCTCTTCATTCTTCTGAACTTCCAGCAACGGCTTAATCTTGATAAAAAGTGCCCACCACTTCCATTTCAATAGCTCATATGTCATGTTGGCATTCTTTTGTAAAAGAACGATAGCCTTCTGCCTTTCTTGGTTTATATTACTCCTCCTCAATTCAATTTTGTGCAGGAGAATGCCCGTGACAACTCTGGAAAGACGGGATATTCGCCTTTCTCTCATGTCCTCCATATCTGCTAGAACTCCTTGTCTTAAAAAAACCATTGTATTGCCTATTCTGTAGTCATTACTATTAATTTCAATAGATTCAAGAATACTCTTGGACAGATTTTTTGGAATAAGTAGAAGCTCATTAGCCATGTTCACGTTATCATCACTCATAACATTTGTATTTACATTGAGTAGTATCAAATACCTCTCATTGAATTCCTTGAAGGATATTCTTGAAGGATATCCAAGCCGTGATATTCTAATTCCTTCTAATACACCATTGCATTTTAGCTGATCCAAAATAAGTTTCTTGTTGAATTCTGAACTGTTCTTATTTAAATTGGGAAGGATACATCTTACAAAGTGAGGATTAGTATTTCTCAATAGATCCATCAATCTTCTTAGATTTTCCCGATGACTTTGACTGACTGTTCTGAAAATACCTTTTTTTATGTTGGAGTCATTGCGAGTAGAAAGAAGATGAGAAGATGCTAGCTTGTGAAGATTCTCTGAATGGACGTCCTTATTCTTGTTAAGCCAGTCCTTAACTTCATATTCTACAAGACCAGCATAATGCTTAATTCTAAATGTATTCTTAAATGGACACTTTTCCACACCCTGTATTCCCTTAATCTTATTAAGAAGAGTATCATCGCTGGCTTTGGGCATTACACATTCTTCATCCAAATATGATAATATTCCTATGGGATTGTTGCTTTCAATAAGCCTGATAGTAGGCTCTAAATCCAGACCAAAATCAATGAAATTCCAGTCTATGCACTCATTCTTGTATATTTCCTGCTCCAGGATAAACATATGGTGATTGAAGAACTGCTGCAGCTTCTCATTAGTGTAGTTTATACACAGCTGTTCAAAAGAGTTATTCTCGAATATTTCAAAGCCAGCAATGTCCAAGACTCCAATAAAGGAGTCAGATGAAGAGATATCGAGGATAGAATTAATTTCAAACACCAGGTTATCAAATAAAGAATCATACAGCATTTTCATAAGACCCTCAATGACCTTAAGGCATTCCTCTTTTGTACGAGAATGCGTTACAGTCTCATTGCCCGCTTTTATTGAAGGATGCAACACTTCTTTTAAAAAATCAGTGACGGAAATATTCAACAGCTTACAGGCCATTTCAACAGGATTAACATTACCCTTATTACAGCTATTATTTATGCATGCCTGATCCTCGTTTTCGGCAAACTCAATATTACTTAAGTGAAGAATGGCAGCTATTATTTTGTAGTACCTTGATGGATCGGTCATTCCAAGATTTTCAAAGCAAACATTCAGCCTGTCAAATTCTTTTGAATCATCAACATCTTTGATTTCAAAACAGGAGTTCCTTAAACATACGTAATCTTCTGGATCCCTTGTTAGCCCCAGAGAAGTCAACAGATGTGGAGACCCACCTCTCAGAAGATAATAGAAAATATGGTACGATCTTTCGCCAGGACATTGATGAGTAACCCTGGATTTTTCCAATAGTATTTTTCAATCCTAGCGCCACAGATATTCCCCCCTTTGAACTTTAGCTGAATAAACTTACCAAACCTAGAACTATTATCATTCTTTACTGTTTTGGCGTTTCCAAAGGCTTCAAGGATAGGATTGGCTGAAAGTAAAAGAGTATCAATGGACTTGCCACTTCTGCTGTCGCTGGCAACAGTTGACAGAAATTCTATCACTCTTTTGGTGTTTTCTGTCTTCCCGGCACCGCTTTCGCCAGTAATCAGAATAGACTGGTTCTCTCTATTAGAGAGAAGACAACGGTAAGCCTCGTTGGCTACTGCAAATATATGGGGCTCGGCTTCTCTATACTTCTTCAAAGTAATATTCTTTTTTACTTCATCAGTATAGATGCCTAACTGTCTGTAAGGATTGAGGGAAATAAGAAACAGACCAGAGTAGGTGTAAATAAAAGACTCTTCATATCTTTTCTTAAGATTGTGAAGGACACTGGGCTCATTGAGGTGGGACAGTAGAGCTAGGTCTTCGACCATATCAAACTTGGCTGGATTCATCTTAAAAACTTCGGATTGCTTGAAGGATTCTAAAACATTTGATTGTGTCTTTACATGTGTAGATGTCTCCCCTACAACATATGCAGGCTTGTACAGCTCGTATGAACAGGGTACCCATATCCATCTTTTGTTTTCCACAGTCAAGTCTTCCTCTGTTGTCATTGAGGGTAGAAATGAGGTGGGCTTTGAAATAAGCAAAAAAGAGAAAGATTAAAGAATAATGTTTAATTATGCAAAATGAAATAAGCGATCGCACCAATCATTTAAGGTGTGTTTACAGCCATTAACGCTTGACAGCTCCTTATATGTGTTGGACTTTTGTTTATGCCGTGCGCTGTCAAGTTGATGTGTGTACATTAACAACCAAACAAAAGATTATTTAGATTTGTTATTTATCAATATGGCAGTAGCTGGTAAAAAAGAGAGATGCACCATCTTACGCATTTTTAATTGAAAATCTCATTTTAAAACAGAAATAGCAATTTTGAAACACAGTCGTTTAAATACAAACGTTACAGCAATGCAAGGATGAATAGTAGAATTGTATTGCCAGTGTTATTTGGAGTCAGTCTATCAAAGCACTATCTGGACAATGCTAACCAAAATAGGACTAGATTTAGCAGCTCCAATGCTGACAAGGTTCCAGATAGCCACGGCGTTTCTGATAAACATGACAGCATCTACGTTTCAATTGGCACTAATCCGGACAAGACAGGTAGCTACAATCACCCAGCCAGCAACAGTGCTGAAATACCATTTACAAACACTGACAACAGCATTCATGTATTTAAGCCCAAGACAGTCTCCAAGGAGATAAAAGAGCTAAAAGAGTGGGAAACCAAGAACATTGTCTTTATTGTTGGAACTTCAAGAGTTGAATCCGATAACATTCCTGAGTTTACAAAAAAGATTAAGTTGCTGATCGATGTTGATAGCACAATACATAAGAAGGAGCTATCGCAAAGGCAGGACTATAGAAACTGGGAAGATTACATGGAGAATACCTACCAGCCTTTGTTTTCAAAGTACAGAGATGTTATATTTAAAATGGAGAAAGAGCAAATAAAAGAGATGCTCAAATTAAAAGACAACTTCGCAACGGCTAATTCAAGCAATGCAGGCACTAATAATCATAGCAATACCACTACCAAAAGTAACGCCAAGTCAAGTAGCAGTAAAAGGAATAGAACACGCATCAGCAACGCTTTTCTTCCTTTTATGCTTGACAGGTTCTATTTTGCGAAACCCTCAGCTTTTGACCTAACTGTCAATGCCACTAATCTACTTCTAACAATTGTTGGAAGTGAGGACCTTTCAAAAGAAGAAATGAATGAGCTCAAAAGGCGGTTTGTAATGACCCAGTTCAAGGACAGTAGTCCCAATGGCAATATATACACCAGCAATTATAGTAGTACCCTGTGGAACAAGGAGCTCTCAAGGAGCGAGATAAGAGAAATAATGGCTGACTTTGATTTAAGTTCAGTCATGGACAGTCTTAAAGAGTATTTTGACTTCATGAAAAGATTGGGAAAGATAGTCAATATTGACAAAGAGTACAGCTTTGTGTATCCTGTTCTTAACATTGAGGATTTTGAGGAGAGCGAGAAGAACATTCTGGTGGAGTGCTCAGAGGTTTTTGAGGGATACTTGCAGAATGTGAAGGGAATAAAGGGATGGATAGGAAGAAATAAGTGAAATAAATAGTATAATTAAATAGCAACTGCTTGTATAAAGTAAAAGAGTGTATAGAGTTGGCATAGAGCATCGGTTTATTCAATTCAACAAGTATAGCAGTGCCTCTAATCGTATTCAATATAAATTTATGCACCAGACAAGACGTTCATCTCCTTTACAAAATCTTCAATGCTGGTGCATTTAATATCGTTTTTCTTGTCGCCGCTCATTTCACTCATTCTACTTACGAACTGAACTACACTTATATGGTCCATAAAGCTCTTCAGGGGTAGGTCCTTCAGGCTGTTGCTTTCTAGATTGGTGCCTTTCACTCTGCTAGCCAAGTATTCTAGAAAGACTCGCTTGTTCTCTTCCTTGTAAAAGACAACCTTAAATTGGCTAGTAACACAGCTGTTTTTATATAATATAAACGACACGGTCTTTTCGCCACCATCCGTCTTGCATTTAACTTCTTTAACTCCAGTCTTTTCCAAGATGATGAGGCCTGTGCCTTTCTCCCCCCACTCAAACAGCCTTATTTCAATCCAATCGTGGATTATCAAAAGCTCAATAGTTTTCGAGGGAGACGTGAAAATAGAAACACATTCTACTTTATTATGCCCATTCCCATATGCTTTACCATGACTGTCCACGTTATTGTATCCATGCATTTCGCCATAATCGTTTTCGCTGTTTGACGATGTGTCATCAATGAAGAGTCTTTCCGAGTACTCCCTCAACCTTGTTTTGCAGTACGAATATGCATCATTTTCGTTCCTTATCTGTTTTTTATACATGAATATTCTCCATCCCAGCTGCATAAACAACGAGCATTTGACAGTAGTATAAAAGCACAACATGCTGTTGGAAAAGATTGCTAGAACAACCAAAGTATGGCAGCGGGTCTTAGCAAAAGTCGATATTCAAAAGCACAAATTATTTTACGTATGAGTTATTTGTTGGAAAACTTCTCTTTGAAAACACTCTTCTTGAACGTCTTGCTCAGCGTCTTATATGAACTTTGAATAATCACGATGCTGTCTTTATACAAAGCAATATTGTGTATTAACAGCCCTATTTCATATGTTGAGATAGCACCATTCCGTAGTAAGAATATGTACTTTTCATTAGAAAATGCATTATCACCAGCCATATACAAAATATCTTTAAACAAAGTACTATTCTGGTTGTTCACAAGTGGAAGAGAGATGGGCTCTTCAGCAATGCATTGGTGATCTTTGATAACCTTTTTTGAGTATCCATCGGGTGATTCCACAAGGTAGACAATATGGTCATTAAAGCATTGAGAGACAACTGGCGTGCCAATGCTTATTGGATGCATCTCATGGGTTCTGAGATTGTAGATCTCGCCCTTGACCGGAAATACAAGGTAATTGTTTGATATTTCCACTTTCTCATTAATATCCTCGTACTTCATATGGTGTTCCTCAAATGAATCTATATTCAGTACTGTTACTGTGAAGTCAAAGTGCTGAAGAGCTAGAAAACCAGAGGAGAACCTCACCCACTTGGCAGGCGGAAACTCTCTTAGATTTTCAATGTGGAGCTTGGAGCCAGTAAACAGACTGTACAAGATGGCCTTTTTGGATGTTGAAATGCAGGCATATTGCTGATCAAAGTGTATATCAGCAGAAATTATATGGTTTTTCTGCTTAATGCTCAGGAAGTGGTTGAACTTGGTGGTCTTTTGATTGATATTTTCTAAAACAGATTCATCGATCCTAAAAGTAATAAGCTTATTGGCACTATCGTTAAATAAATTGGATGCATCTACATTGCCATCACAGTTCACAACATCACTATCAAGAGGAGTGTGTGTATCTTTATCATTTGAAATTGAGAACAGGTCTAAGGATGCACTGTAGGCAGTATAGAAGTACTCCTTAGTTCTTCCCGCCAGTACCGACGAATCATATAAAATCCTAAAAGTATACTTGTCAATCTCTGTAGAACTAATGACAACAGTGCAGTCTTCACCTCCAGACAACACTCTTCCATTATCAACACACATGCACAGTACTTCAGCGCTGTGTGGGTCCCCCTGAAAAGCCTTTACAATTTTGTTCTTCAAAATTTTAGCACAAAAGATTCTTGAATCGACTCCCGAAACATGAACCTGATCATTTAAAATGACTAGATCGTTGAGAGGATGCTCTCTGACATGAAATTTATCAAGAACGATCTCGGAAATGGGATTTATAAGATAGATGTGTCCATTCTCACCGCAAACACAAAATGAACTGACATTAATACCAGCAAATTTAATAGGAGTGGTCTTAATTTCGATTTCGGTTATAACCTTACTGTTGTGTAATATTGTTATCCAGCCATCTGACGTCCCAATAAGGATATAGCTGAATGCAGCTAGTAAGGAGGAGATTTTGCTTGTAACTGTGGCTATCTGAACTATGCTATCCCCGACGCTATTGTTGCTGATATTATTAATGTTGCCTTGGTAATGAAACACTTCATTTCTCGAATTTGAAAAGTAGAAGGATCTTGGTGCATAGCCTATCTTCTGACACTCCACACTGATGTTTGTAGCATCTAAGTCCAGAACAGTCCTATTTAGATTTGAAGTATCAAAAATGACAACTCTGCCAGTCTTAGAAAGACATATAACGGTATTTAGATCAAGAAAGGCGGATTGGACTATTTCCTCAGATATCTCAAAGAATAGAAATTTCTGAAGAGAAGAAGAATGATGGAGCTCAAGCATTCCGTTTCTTCGAAATATGGCAACGATCCTGTTGTTTGAGCATAGGGAAGTGACTGGAGAGGGAATGAATTCCGGAGGTCTGAAGACGTGAGCGAGCATTATTTTGTGGGTGAAAAAATTTACGCAAAGTTGAGAGAGCTGCAAAGCCAGGACAAGATAAGTAAAAGCATTTATATTCCTTAAAAATATTCTTAAATTGCCCTTTGTTTTATTTATAAATGGATGATAGAAAATGAAAGGTCAGAAAATGCATTTTGCTTCATAAGAGGGAGCCCTTTAATGCTGAAGTACAAGGATCTATTGACCGGACAGCTTTTGGTAATCTTTACACACTACAAAACCGTTAAGAATCACTTTTTACTTCTACTTTTCAAGTCTTTCATTAGATTTTCCTGTTTTTTCAAGAATAGTGCCTCATCAAAGATCCTCTTCTTCTTTGTTCCCAAAATCTCAACACTAAGCAATTTGCTTGCCTCAGAAAACACCTGATCCTTTGAGCCAGTGCGCAATGCTTCTGCTTCATTCTCAATTAGTGTCTTTTCAATGACTAGCTCTTCTTCGGCATTCCTGAATCTCTTAAAGAATTCATCGCTCAAGACCCTCTCCTCAAATAGATTTGAGACTACTTCTCTCTCCTCAGCGAGTACATTCAATTTCTTGAGGGTGTTTTTGGCGGCAAGAATGAGCTGCTTCATTTGTACACTCATTGGTTCAGCAAACATCCCATAGAATTTATTTAGATCTTCGTTAGAGGATTCAGGACTGTCACCTGTAGTACTTCTAGCAAGCATTCCAATTCCTATTATGAGTATTGAGCAGAAAAGAGATACCAAAATTATCATGGTCTTTATTTTGGGGTGAGAAATACAAATACATATAAATTATACAATGCATAAGCATAGACTCCACAAATGCAACAAGCATATTCTACGCCTATTTCTATGACACGCCTTAATATCAAATAGAAGCTTAACCAAGGAAGCAATAGCAGTGTTCCAAAAGGCTAATTTATTGTTAACGGATCTAGCCTAGAAAAAAGAAGGTTGATGAAATTCTACTTTCGGGATCTTCGGTGAATTGCATCAAATTTATGTACTGTGCATCGCAAACGCTTTGAACACAGAATATATGGCATTTAGGATGTAGTTTGCATCGGAAGTAAAGATTTGGCACGATGCTAATTACAATATTCACCGTAGAGAGTCTTAGATATAGAACAGGCTGCGATGCATTGAACAAAAACCAACAACTTCTCTCCTTGGTGCTTCTGCTCTAACAGCAATTTTCCATTCCAAGTGCTTTTTAGAGATACAAGGAGTTAGCAAACACAATATCTCGTTTAATCAGGAATATCCCCTGGGAAAACAGATTCACCAATTCATTGTTTCCAATAACTGCTGCTGCATTTGATAGCTGTCTCAGCAGCTCTTCCAGTCTTTTAAACACCCTGATTATGCTTCCCTCAAAGATATTAGTGCTTTCACATATCTCAACAAAAGTTCTACCAGTCATCCACATTTTGACTATGTCCATTAATGCATGGGAGAATCGTCCAATATACTCCGCTTCTCTCACATCAATCCCACATTCATTCATAATTTTAACAATCCTTTCAGCAGCATTAACGAGCAAAGTGTATACTGCATCATTTTCCTCACTCAAAACTAGATTCTCGGTGCTCTCTTCACAGACACAGCAGCTAAGCAGAGCCACCATATCTGTCAGGGACAGATTAATAAACTCTGAATTGAATATCATCTCCGTTATTACAAGTTCGTCTCCTGCACTGATCTCAGAGGCCATCTTGCCTTTGATTAGGACTGATGTGTCATCAATGTACTCAAGTCGTCTTAGAACGCCAATCATCTTTTTACATTCTTCCATGTGATAAATCTCCTTCAATTTATTTAAATATTCTATCTTCTCCTGTAAGTTTTCCTGCTCTACAAGATACCTCAAATGCTCTATGCTTTTATCTAATAAAGGGGTATTTGTGGGCGTGTACTCGCAGCTGACGAGGCATGCGCGGGAGGGATTTTTACAGAAAAGGCAGGATGAAAGATCTATTGATGGCTCGATTTCGCGTATTTTATTTTCTAAACGGGTAATTTCTTCATTAACGTCGTCCTTGTACTCTATTGGCCTGAACCTTTTACTAAACACCTTAATATCAACCTTACATTGAACATCATAAACACTACTCACATAAGCTAAGGGATACTCCTTGAGCTCTATATCTTTATTTGTTAGTATGTAAGCTTGAACAGTGCTGTGCTTTGTCACTTCCTTTACTATGGCATTTCGTATTGGAAGGATGGATCCCTTGTGTGGAATCATAAGATCTACAACCCTGCCCTTGGCTCTAATCATATCCTTAAAGGCACTAGCAAGCGCCTCGTTTCTTCTACAATATAGCTCTTCTCTTCTTAATAATAGCTGTGACAGCTCTGTTTCTTCCGCGAAAGGCACATCTACTATTTTATTCTCTTGTTCTAGAGCACTCTTATATGCCTGAAAATGAAAGAAGCTTCTGCTCAGGACATAGGTAGGGTCCAATCCCTCTACCCTTAATAAGTTAAGAATCATGTTGTAAGTAAGGCGAAATGCACTGAACAGTTTGTCTGCACTGGACGAGAAGATGGTCTTGACCTGTGCGACTGTTAGTTCCTCCGTAAGAATGCATATGGCCGCTCCCATCTCGTCCAGTCCTCTTCTACCTGCTCTTCCACTCATCTGGATAAATTCGCCCGAGGTGAGCAGTCTCCTGTTTGTGCCGTCAAACTTACGAAGTGATGTGAAAATGACTGTTTTTGCAGGCATATTTAGCCCTATGGAGAATGTCTCAGTGGCAAATAGCACCTTCAGAAGAGATTCCTGGAAGAGTATTTCAACTATCTCTCTGATAATTGGAAGAAGCCCAGAATGATGAATACCTATTCCTCTCTGTAGAAGCGGAAGCATCTTTTCTATAATGGGAATGTTCCTATCTTCCTGTCTTAGTGAGGCTATTGCATTATCAAATATTGTCTTAACCAAGTCTTTCTCTTCCTCATCTAATAAATCCTTCCTAATCTTAACCGCATATCCTTCACATTCCTTTCTGCTGAAAGAAAAAACAACCGCAGGAGTATTGGCCCTTTCTATTGCTTCCTGCAATATCTTATCCATATCTTTCCTCTTTGGAACATTTTGCATAGACCGCATAAACTGTTTTAGATGAAACTTCTTGTCTTTAATCAGATATAGATCGTCGGTTTGAAAATAGTGAATGAGAGGAATAACCCTCTTTTCAGTATAAACAACATGCACAATTTGCTGTTGGATATATGAAATCCACTCTGCAAATTCTAAGGCATTAGGAATGGTCGCACTAAGGAATACCATTCTTACATGCCCGGGCAAGAGTATTATTGTTTCTTCCCACACTACACCCCTCTCTCTGTCTCTCATATAGTGCACTTCATCAAATATTATCCAGTGAACCTCCCGTATGACCTCTGATCCTCTGTAAAGCATATTTCTTAAAATTTCAGTGGTCATGACGAGGCATGATGCTTCGGGATTGATGGTAACATCTCCAGTCATGAGGCCTACGTCTCCAAACTCCTCCTGAAGCTCTCTGTACTTCTGATTAGACAGGGCTTTTATAGGACTAGTGTATACCACCCTCTGGTTGTTCTTAATGGACTGTGCTATGGCATATTCAGCAACCACAGTCTTGCCGCATGACGTGTGTGCACTGACGAGCACTGATTCATCACGCTCAATGCTGCATATTGATATTTTCTGGAATGTATCAAGTTCAAACTTGTATTTCTTTGCATCGCATCGTGGTTCGTGGGGAATCTCCGAATAGCTACCACCAAATGGCACAACAGCCTCGTGTTTAGTTCCGCAGACGAAGAATTCGTCACACACTTCAGTCCTTGGTTGTTCCCTTATGAACTTTTTTGGCACTTTTAATCTCGAGTCATCATCGAAAATGTCAAAGTAAGCCTCATCCATAAGCTTTCTGGGATGTAGGAAAGTAAAATTTTACCATGAAAAATATGAGATTGAGATATTGGAAGACTTTGAGATTGGCAAAATGCTTCTGTGCTGCTCTCCTTCTTTGGGCTTTATAATGCATTCGGACTGCTATTAGTATTTGGCTTTACTAGCTAGTAGGATACCAGATGCAACATTGGCATATATTAAATAAATACTGTTGAGTGTACTTTGACCTTTGCTAATTGAGCACTCGATGGCACTCACGGTCCACGTCTGATTATTTGTACTGGCTTTGCGCTAGAATAGGCAGAAGTAGCTTATTTATCGTTAACCAGCATATGCTAATGCTATTTCTGTAGCTCCATTTCTGTAGTGCATTTGACCATGCAGCTAGTTGGGTCGGGTTGGCTACATCAGCTTTATAGTGCTTCCACCCATGTCTGCATTGTTTAACTTCGAATCATTTCTAAGACTTGCAATTCTAATGATATGCACCTCAACGTATCTAAAGAGAAAGTTCCCCACAATCTTTTCCAAGAAAAATGGATGGTACTCCCTTTTGTACAAATGCTGCATTATCGGGGAACGACTTTCCCCCTTTGTCGGAATACTTTGTTTGTTCTTTGGTTTGAAAAGACTTGTAAACTTTTTTATATAGAAAAGATATGGCCGTAGTAGAGAGCGGGCCGAGAATGCAGGAAAAGTTTATTAAAGATGTCTTGCTAATGTCTCAATTAGTTACTTTCTGTTTTATTATTTCTGGGCCTGCCATATTAAGAATAATAAAGATATACAAGTTAATAGCTTTCTGTGTTTACTCTCTTCATGCATGCACACAGCCCAAAGTCTCAAACCGTGTACTTTTGTCAAGGCCACACGCTCAAATATTCCTTGGCAAGATCTACCATGCAGCCCCTGGGCCAATTTGGAGCTTTAACAAATTTGCCTCATTCAGGCGTATTTTGATTTTAAACATCGTTTCGCCATCTTCAAAATTCTTATGAATTACTTGCGGTTTATCATGCGATTCATGGCCATGCACAGATTCTTTGATATCTGTGCTTTACACCAACAATTTTGTCGATGTTGTTTCACAGTTTTACTTGAGCACGTAGGATCCCTAATATCAAAAGACTGCAATTTATAGGGCATTGCACAGTACCATAATCATAAGAACTGGACTAGTTTCCTGAAAGTTTGTTTGCAAGATGGCATTCATAGACAAATCAGACTATGCCATAAATAGATCAGCCACTTTTATCAAAATTTTCTAAAGTTTTGACCGTGCGGAATGAGTGAGCTAGTTTTTGAAGATGTATCCATGGAAATTAACAAAGTTGCAATTGCAAACAACTTAACATTCTATGCCACGAGACTGTGCTGTATCTTCTTCAGTCCAGACTGTGGTACTTTCAAGGAGCTGTCGCTCCTCTTTTCCAAGATACATCTGCACTCTGCAAACGAGATTAAAGTTCGGGGAAGTGTATATTTCGATGGAAAAGTGCTTCCAGCAGCGAAGTTCCACCATCTTCTCAACCAACATGTCGTATGCGAGGGCAACGACAGTGTATTTGATGTTCTCTCCTTGATTAACAGAGAAGAGGCTGAGAATATGGTAAGGAAGCTTGACATTTACTTTTACAATAAAAGAACTGACCATTTGAATGTGCAAGAATCTAGGATTTTTGAGATTGCTGTTAATTTGATTGCCAAACCGCCTGTTATGTACCTTAAAGTGCTTGGAATGAGCCGCAAGCAGAAAGACAAGTGCCTATCAATACTCTCGGAATTTGTGCAGCAGCATGAGTCTGTAGTTTTTGTTGAAACCGATTTTCGGATATATTTGACTGTGCGGTTATTGTCAAGCATGAGAAGATACTCTCTCTAAGCAGACAGGAATCTTCAAGGTTCTTTGAAAGCAGAGAACTTTCGGTGTTTAGTCTGCCTTCAAACCCAATCAAGGGGAATTCGGCTGACAAGTTTGTCTCTGAGATCAATCTAAATAAAACAGACGAACCATACAATTACAAAAAGCTATTTATGGCATATAAAACTAGCAATACTGTGGATTTAAAACATGTGAACATGCCGACTTGGAATAGACTGACAACCATCGACTTTTATAAAGTGGGCCTGACACAAGCTGCGGTTCTCGGATATAAAAAATATGAAATGACATTCCAGAAACATGAAAAGAGAATAGGTGTGCTGAAGAGCCTATTTCCATGCTTCTTGTTGATTTTTGTTCTTAGATTGGCCAATGAACTGACTGACAAGCCCAATATTCAGCATGCTCCCGACTTGGTTGCCCTGACCTGTAGCGCAATCCTCAACAAAAACGACTTTCCTATACTTGCCACTTTCTTTCTGCAAACATTTGTTCTCAAGGGCTTTTCATTAAACAAAATCGGGTTTTTATTGAAAAAATTTTTCAGAGAAAGATTTTCCGAAGTAAGTCAACGCTTAATTTTTGCATCGGTCTGCTTCAGTGTAATGTACCAGTACTCCTCAATATTTGAGGAGGATTTTCAGGCACTAAACTACAACATTAATGTTCTTATGACGCCAGGAACCTATATTGCCTCAATCTTTATTTTTGCTGCGCTGGCTCATATTTCCACCTTCTGTTTTGTGGGATGGATCTTTAACATCAGACTCATGACTCTAAACCTGATCTGTGCCTTCTTTATCAATCTTATTTGCTTTAGCTTCCTAGGCAAGCGTCTAAGAACAACATTCATCGGCTTTTTTATCTCGACTTGTCTTTTCAGTGCTCTAGTGACGGCAATGAGGTCTGGTCCGTCAATCATCCTCAAAATGTTCTATGCTATTTTTCCATTACTGATATATTCCCAAGAGCTTATCGATGGGGGCTACTCTATTCCATCCACACTTTCATTGGTCTATGTCCTATTGTACTGTACTGTCATCTACATTATCACATGCTATAGAATTTCATTTTACTAGATAGCGCTTGGTTTTACCAAAAAGAACCATTGCCGGCATTACACCTGTCATGTTCGCACAACGCACTTTTCTTTGAATAAACAGGTTTTTGTTAAAATACATTTCCTACTGGTAGGACTGCAATAACTATTTTGCAAGTAAACGACAATTTTAATCATAAATTGATCAAGACCAAACCTCGAAACAGTGGAACCTATCTTCTCTTCCGTATACTGAATTTAATCATAGGCTTTTCAGAAGATTTATCTTTCTGACATCCATCCTAGCCGCTTGATTTAAACATATCACCCTATGGTAGAGAAACCTTTCTAACATTCCCGGCATCAATGGCTGTTAAGAAGATGCTCGTATGATTTTTCGTCATATTAGACTAGATATTAAATCATATGGATGCAAAGACTATGGATCGGTACAGTCAGATACATGATTTTATATCTTGTTATGGTTTGCCAGCAAGTTTCCTCTTCAAAATCTTAGTTCCAAGATTGTCTTCTAGGAATTTCAACGCATGCGTCGGTACTTGTTCAATGTTAGATACATCCACTTCACTAAGCTCTGGGGAAGCACCTTGGCTGATCGCTACATTAACTATATTTATTACAAACATTTCTTCGTTGTTTTGCGGATTTGGAACTCTGGACCTAAATCTACGCCATATGTCAAAGGCAGCCAATTCAAAAATATCACCCTTGCAATTGCTATAGCCATCTTTGTCCTCCAATCCTTTGTTTTCAATCCAATCGCCTACAACCTTAACAATTCTGAGATTATTTAAAAATAATTTGAACTTCGCATCATTAGCATAAATCACAGGAGCCGGTCTCAGACTACTTAACAGTTTTTCAAGTTCTTGAATTTCGCTTTGACTGAACCAACGTGAGAAATTATTAAGCTCTGGATCATCGTCGCTGTCATTAAAACCAGTATTGTAAAGATCGTCAAGATCTGCAAAATGACTGGGCAAAGCATTAGGATTAGTTGCTGGTGCAAGTCCTGCACTTTCTTCATGGCTGCCTACATCTGTTGCAGTCATGCTACCAAGACTTGTAACTTCAATAGTGCTGCCGGCAATATCCCTGTTGTTGGTAGCCTCGCTACTAGCGTCAACAACTCCAGGTAGTACTACAATCCCCAATATTGGAAGCATCTTAACAACTCCAAACAAGATTTGCTTAGTTGACTGTGCTTGTAGCATTAGGGGGTAATAGCTAACAAAATTTTCAATTGGTTTTTTGCATTTTAAAAGGACAGTTCAAAAGAAAAAATCAAAGCGGCCATGAATTCTTGTGGTCAAAGACCAAGTGGCATTTAAAGCCTGTTTTCAACATGTCCCTTTAGAATATAAAAGAATATGCCGTGTTTGGCCAGAAGCATATCACTCCCAGACAATCTCTAGAATCTTCATGGATTTACGATGACTAAATATCCTTCCTTTACAAATATTTGCCGCCATAACTGCATGCACCAATGCTTAAACTAGCAAAGTTCTGAGACTTTGAATGGTACTAAGCAGCTCCAATACTAAAAACTAAGTACAGAAAATGTTAGGACTATTTAATCAACAAACGAACTACTTATAAATATAGGCATTAAATAAAAGTAATATTCTCTTCTGTTCCCTTGGAGCTTCTACATTTCCTTAAAGCCTGTGTCTTAAACTTGCTTTTGGGTGCAAGATTTTCCAGCACAATGCACTCATTTACACTTAGGCATGGCACAAAGTTAATCAGGATATTGTCCAAAAGATCGATGCGCGAAACTAGCTTTCTAATCGGATTGAAAAAGTACCTGTCCTTCTCGTTTCTGTTGATCTTTGCAGCAAGTTTTCTTGATACTTCAGGGTATTTCTTTGAATTTCGATCTTCCAAATATTCAAAATATCCGCAAACTAGAGGCTTAATGTCCTTCAGGTTGTCCGTAAAGGTTAGAAGTAGCTCTTCTGAGCAATGGTCAAACAGCCTCTTTGAGTACTGAGCGAACTGTCCAATTGAAATTAATTTGAACAGTCGGATGCACGATTCCTGATCATTAAAATGAAAATTTGCTGAAATATAGGATATAAGCTTATCAAATAGTATCTTAGAACAAGAAACGGGGTCTGTAGGCTCAGTGGCTGAGTAGGGCTCTTCGGGCAGCTTAGAGTGGAAAAATACAACAAAGTCAACCAACTCAAGGAAATTATCAACGGCACACGAACCATGTGTGCTATTCTCAAATATGTCTGTATCTATTATAGAAGCACCATCTTGCTTGTTTCCAAATTCAAGATTCTTTACCCACTCATAGTCCTCTTGCAAAATCTTCCAAAGAGTGGCATAGCATTTTACAATAGGCGAAGATGACTGATCAACTGAGCTGGAAATATCAAAGAACTTTATGAGCGGAAACACATATTTGGTCTTTAGTTCTGATATAATTGTCTCTACCTGGAGAGAATATATATCCTCCAACTTTTTCAATAGCTCTGCAAATTTATCAATAAAGCTGTCATTATTTTCAGCCATTTTCCTTAAATATTCCAAGATTTTGAAGGTAGAGCCTGGAAAATTAGCAAACGAAGAAACAGAACACAATGCTTGAACTACTAGCCTGATGTTATTGCTGTTATCCTTCACAACCTCAAATAGATCTAAAAATATAATAGGATCAGTGTTGAAGCTCATAGCCGTCAAAATATCAAGAAAACACACATGGTTATTATCACAACAGGCAGACCTATTCCTAATGAACTCACAGATATTTAGAATGAACGACTCAACGTCACTGTCAGAAAGCTTAAGGTTCTTAAAGACATGGCTTTTTGTTTGCTTGAGAATATTGTGTAAACTATCAAGTTCCCAGATTCCTTCAGGACACAGCTTTTTCAGAGCCAGAAACTTAAGATCATTGCAGGAATCATCATTGGAAATAATGGCAAGGATTTCTTCAGTGGCAAAGACCTGTTCATTCTTAAGAAAAATAGATAATATTGCCCTGCAGCACTCCTTCTGAATATTTGGATTGCAGTCTTGAAGTGCAACTTCAACCAATCTTGATTTATACTTTTCAACGAACCTCTCAACAGGATTGACAGCATCACTGAAATTGGCTTTTGGCTTACAAAATTTTGAAATTTTCAGAAATGATTTGACAGCCTTTCTCCTAACTGAGTCATTTCTATCATTGAGTGACCATCCGATGTACTTTAAGTAGTCCATATTCCTCAATGCATTGCTAGCGCATATCCACTCAGACAGAAATTGTACACACATGGCCCTGATGCTTGGATCGATGTCCCTGAATCTAGAAATAAACACACTCTGAAACAGAATCTCGATCTTGTCTAGCATCTTTGAGCTCAAATAGCTTGATTTTATCAAAGAAAGGACTAAAAAAGTTGAGTTAAATCTGTGCAGTCTCGTCTTCGATACTGTCAGCTCAATTATCCTCTCAATTTCAAAATTTTGGACCTTGAGAAAAATATTGGCAAGCTTCTTTAGTTGAAGACTCTGGGTCGTCCTTATTATCTCGACAAGGTCATCCGAGCAGTCTTCTTTTTCCTGCAGGGTCTTAATGATCTTTTCGGGAGAGAATACCTCCAAGGCTGACACTGCGGTGGTGTTCATACCATTATTGAGTAGTGTGTTGTTGGATATATTACTGGCCACTACATTGTTGTTTAAAGCCGTGGCATTTAATGTTCTATCGTGTGAGGTGTCCATGGGCTAAAAATTTCCAAACACAAATGAAGAGCAGTTTAAGTCTAAATATATAGAGTCTGTGTTACATATTTTGCCATTACAAACAGTATGCAGAACTATTTGCACATACTTCACGGCATGCATTAAAAGCTAGTTTATCAACCAATTGGGAAGTACTGCGTACCCGTTTCATATTTCAACTGTCATGTACCTACCGCTATATAAATGACAAATAGACTAGATAAGCTAATGCTAGGTGGCGAAATGCTAAAGCTTCTTGCATCCTTCAATATTGATGGTTTTATAACAACGATGCAAGATGAGCACCTGAACGAGTTTATAAATGACAACGACAACAAAATCATGCATCTCACGGGATTTACAGGGTCGGCAGGAATTGCATTTACAAGCATACATGAAAAGGTGCTAATAACTGACGGAAGATATTATCTCCAGGCTGAAAGAGAGTTGAGGGAGAATGAATCTAAGGGCTATAGGCTGGTCAAACAGGAAGATCAGGAAGAGTACTGGAAAGAAATATTGAAGAGCATTAATAGTATTGGAGTTGATACAAGATACATCAGCATTAGGGACTATGAGACGTTGAAAAATATATTTAACATGCTGGGAACCAAACTGGTGCATGTGCCCGATATCGTTTTAGAATTATGGAAAGATAGACCGGCAAGGCAGTTTAGGAAGATAATAGACTTACAAGAATACAGATATAGAAAGGAAGTGGACTTTGATGAAATTGTACTATCGCTCGAACAGTGCTCACAGTTTAGTAATACATCTAATAGTAAAACTTCCAATCTTGATTTATTATTTGATAATGAAATAGTGAAACAACAAGGCGATAGTTTGACAAGCATTGCAGGAGAGTCCAGAAAAGACAAGATTTCCAGGGTTTTAGAGACTTTAAACGAAGATGAAATCCTAGTACTAACTGAACTAGACACAATCGCATGGATTTTCAATCTGAGAGGCGAGGATATAAAAAATAACTTGTTTTTCTACTCCTTTTCTGTGATTTTTAAAGAAAAAGTGGTGTTATTTACAAACTCTGATGTAAAGTTACCTGAGCTGCAGGATATAGTCCAGCCTACAAGCAATGAAACTTGGGATGGCACTTCTTATTCTTTTGAAATCAAAGGATATTCCGAATTTTACAGATATATTGAATCCTTCAAGCATGACAAAAAGATAGTAATTTCACCGAATACTCCCGCGTTTATTGCCAACAAGTTCAAAAACAAAAGAATAACCAATGATATCCGTGCATTGCAGTCAGTAAAGAACAAAATGGAACTGTATGGCATGCTTCGTGCAAACATTCTTGATGCCCTAGCTTTAATTAAATTATCTACGTGGATTCATACGGCCAGCCGTACTGAAAGGGAGATTGCTGAGCAGCTCAGAAAGATCAAGTCAGAAAATAGATACTTTCTTAGAACAAGCTTCGATTCAATTGTTGCTGTTGGAAAAAACGGAGCTGAGCTGCACCACTCAATAGGAGATACCTATACAGCCAAGGAAAAGGCCATTTTGATTGACTCAGGCTCACAGTATATCTTTGGAACAACTGACATTACAAGAACATTGAGTACAAGACCAGATGCGATATTGAAACGGGACTACACATTTGTCCTTAAGGCAACGATTGCTCCTAAGCTATTGCAGGAAAGGGAACTTGGAGGAGACACGGTGGATACTACGGCCAGAAGCGTGCTACTATCAGAAGGCTTAACGTATGACTCGTCTACTGGGCATGGTGTTGGGTTTGGATTGAATGTGCATGAGAACCCGCCAGCAATTTCCCAAAATGGAGGCGAGATACTAGAGAATCAAGTATTTACAATCGAGCCCGGAGTATATCGTGAGGGAAAGTATGGAATTAGGATCGAGGATATGGTGTATTTGGAATCTTTAGATGGCATGGACATAGTTCATGATTTAACCTTCGCCCCATACCAGATGGATATGATTGATAGGAATTTATTAACTGAAGATGAAAGTAAATACATTAATACCAAAAATCGAAAGATTGGGTGCTTATTTATGAGCAGAATCAAAGATAAAGCTAGCTTGAAATACTTAATAGAGAACACCAAGGAGCTATGAGCGTCAATCAAAACATAGCTACCAACATGAAGCATGAAAATCAATGTGTAACAAACGGCTACATACTATCTGGGCATACTACTAAGTTTTGCCATTATACTTTTTGGTTTTTCTCAATTTCTTCCCCGAAAATGCATTTTAAACTAGACTTCGAGGGAAAGCCAGAAATAGGAGCTTATGTCAGAATGACAAACAAGTATATACTCGTTGGGAGATCGCAGACACCAAACATCATCAATTTCTTCAGAGAAAACTTCTCAGTCCCAATTATTGAGACCACCATAAACACGATCAATACAGTTGGTTCGCTTTGCGTAGGCAACAGCAAAGGATTGGTACTTCCAGACACGTGCACGGATCAGGAGTTGCAGCACATCAGAAACTCACTTCCCGAGTCGATTAAAGTCGTTAGAATCTATGAGAAGCTCAATGCTCTTGGAAACATCATTGTCTGCAATGACTACGGCTGTCTGGTTCATCCAGAAATAGACGAGAGCAACATTAAGATATTGGAAGATACACTCGGAGTGCCAGTATTTAAGCACACAATCGGTGCCGAGCCACTTGTAGGCACCTTCTCAGTTCTGTCTAATCAGGGAATGCTTATCCATCCAAATGTTACAGAGCTTGAGCTAAAAGACTATCAGAACTGCTGAAGGTTCAGGTGATCGCAGGCACAGTAAACTCAGGATCCCAGGTAGTAGGAGTGGAATAGTGGCCAATGACTATGTCTGCATTACAGGGATACGATGCACGAATGTGGAGATAAAGGTGGCCGAAACAGTCTTTAATCTTTCGAGTGAGAAGCTGTCTACAGCAGCAGCGATTGATGAGATCGTTTTGTAGAAGTGATATTGCGGCTATTTAAAATAAATCCTATTATTTACACACCGCGTTACTTGTTCTAAGAGCTTTGTTTGTTGTATGCATGCAGCGCATCCGGTGTGGTTAACTTTATCTTGCAAGATCCAGTACTGTAAAACTAGACATAAGAAATGTGGTTGGTCTCTGCTATTACTGGATTACTCCTTTGACAGTTAATATTACCAAGAATCTACAGTAATGGATAACCAATCCTTTTCTCTGCCCCTCACTAGCCATGCCAGACACAACAAGCAAGTCTTTAGATTATTCTAAAAGACTAGCTTTGAGAATCTCAGATGAAATTGACCATGCCTTAAACTCAATACCTCCAGGGATCCGCAACAAACTAGCAAGAACTGCAAGTCGAGTATTTGCAGGCCTCGGCATTGGAATTGTCTTCCTTTATGCAGCAACAAACTCAGACAGGACTTTCATACACAACGAGGATTGATAAGCTTGCTATTCAATAAAACACAGTCTATATTCAATTCTTTTTTCACTTATGAGAATATTGGAAAGTCTCTTCTTTGAACCATAAAGGTTATTGAGAATACTCAATATTAAGTTAAAATACTAGAGCTGAATGCTAAAATATTTACAATACAGCGCATTTATACTATTCATTGCTTCTTTATTTAAAATAGCCCTTTAAATCTCTTGCCTTTGGGTCTTACAAGTTGTCTGGCCAGGTAACCTTCAAGTTGAGCAATCAGAAATGTAATAAAGGGAAGAAAGGCTAAAAGATTCAGATACCAATTCAGCCTCTCTGCATCCTTAATGTTAGTAGCCTGGGTGTTCTTGGCATAGTGATTCTCATTTCCCAGTATTTCAACCGCATTCTGCAATTGATTCAAAAGGGTTCTCAGGGCAATAATGTCCTCGTTTCCTTTATTTATCTTCATTACAGAGTGAACTGAAATAGAGAATCTTTCCATTTCATTTCCTCTGTTGTGCAGTTGGATAGTCCAAACGCCACCCTTGTCCAGTTTCTCAGTTACGTTTCTCTCGAGGGGAAGCTCAAGGCCTTCTACATCAACCTGTTCCTCGATCGACTCAGTTGCTTGGTACGAATCTTCAACATCAATGGCCTTTTTGTGATGTCTTTTGCCATCTGGCGGAACGACTCTGAAAAACAAGTTGTTGGACTGGGAGATACGGCTCAAGAACAGTTCAGAATACTGCTCATCGTCTGTGACATGCTTGCAGAATGTAAGCGTCTCCTTTGGTTGGATAATCTTGAGAAGATTCGAGCAGCAGATTGGTCCTAGGAGTAGCAAGAACATAAGCATTGTTTATGGGTCGAGAAGGAAGAAAACTATAAGGTACATAATCATGGAAAAACAATAAGGATCGACGCATCCACACACATTTAATTAAAAGAAGACAATTTGTAGATTACTCCACCTCGAGTTTGTAACTTTAGAAAGCAACTTCGACAAATTGTATTCTGGAGTACGACTATGCATACACCATAAAAACAACAGTAGATTTTGACGGAAATAACGGACCATGGACTACCATAAGCCCCAAAGGTCGCTCACAACTCCCAATTTCTCCAGTGGTGTGATAAATTACTTAGAAATTAAAAATTAATTTAAATTTAAAACATTATCCACAGTAAACAGCAGGACACAAGTGTAGCATTGTCTTTACTAATAAAAATACATAAAATTTGTCGACCATCTCGGCAGCCATCCCTGTTAGGCGATAGATATTTGATATCTAGCACAGAGGCTTATCAAAGTAAAGTATTAAATAGTAAACCAGTTGATTTTGCACCTAAAATTCAATGTATTTCCATATTTTCTCGCAAATTTCTTGCTGATTGAATTTTTCACTGCATTCCACAGTAAATACATCATTTCTATTTTTATTCACTACTTTAGCATATACTGCGCCTTCCTTTTTAACAAAATCAACCCCAAATCCCTTGACTATCTCGTAATAAAGCTCCTCAACTGTAGGATAGCTCAGAACTTTTATCTCCTCTTCCAAATGTGTATTCTTCTCAATCAGCTCGTTCAATCTTGCTTCTATCTCCTCATTCTCCTGCTCAAGTTCAATAATTCTTCTGGAAAGCTTTATTCTCTCGTTGTTTTTCTTGGTAAAGGATGCTGCGTTCTTGTCCTGAAGCATCTGCAGCCTCTCCACTTCAGACTCCACCTGTTTGTTCTTTCTCTTCACCTGGTTTATCGAGTCCTCAATTGCCTCCATCTTTGTTTTGTGTGCAATTTCCGCATCTCTCAGCTCCTGTTTGATTTTGTTTAGAGTCTCCTTGAGTGTTTCGCTGTTGAACTGGGCGGTTAGTTTCAATATCTGGGTCTTGGCTTCTTCCATTACTCAATCTATGTCTTGGGGTCTGAAAAACAAAGAAATCCAGCCTTGAGCCATATGCCAGCAATGCTTGTAAATTGGTCATAGCACGCAAATAGAGGTACAGTGTGCCATTATTTCTTTACATAAGAAGTACCATGGCATAACTCTCGATATTTCGTAGCACCGACAGCCAGCAATACCATTCTAATGTTCTTTGCATTTTCTTACTTTTTATACTTCATCAAAATTTCTCCCATGTTTTACTTGCTTGAATCTGTATTTGGAGTAGCACTTTTCAAGAAGAATGAAGAAGAGATAATTCTTCTAAAAAAGTTATTATTTGACGCAAACGCAAATGTCGTTGACATTATAGACTCCCTCAACGAAGGAGCCATTCCGGATCAGATAAAAGAGTTTATCAAAGAAAACTGCCCATTGGCAAGCACGGTAAATGTACTAAACCCGAAAATATGCGAGACACTTTCAAGAGAACTAAGCATGAATGCTGTCTGTAGTCCAGATAGTGGGTTTAGAAAATTGAGGACAAGCTACTTCGAGTACTTTGATGTGTCCAAGGATCTTTGTAGGATAGCAACATCGAAGATAGCTCACAGGCTAATAAAGACAAACAGAAATGACATGATTCTGATAGACATTCTTAACTACGTTGAGGAGATGGATGTAAGCATCAACAACAGGATTATGAGAGTGAGAGAGTGGTATTCTATTCATTTTCCGGAACTCAACACGGTTTCAGACAGCACGGCATATCTTAATCTTGTCTTGAAAATAGGCAGCAGACAGAAGTTTCTATCGAATTCAGATTATAACGGTGTGCCTGAGGAAATTGTCCGCGTAGCCGGAATGAGTATGGGCAGCAGTATGAAGACTGAGGATATTCAGCAAATCAAGGATGATGTATGCAACATTCAGAAGGACATTGAATATAAAAACGGTATGCTAGTGCTAATGAAGACTTATGCGCAAAAATCCTTTCCTAATCTTTTTAACATTATTGGGGAGGGGCTAGCAGTAAGACTAATCAGAAAGGCTGGGTCCATTTCTCAGCTAGCACAGTTCGCATCGTCAACAATTCAAATTTTAGGTGCAGAAAAGGCCTTTAATGAAGCTGTAAAAATGAAAACCAACACTCCCAAATACGGGCTTATTTTTAGCCACAGTCTTATCTGCGATTCGCCCGAGGATATTAGAGGAAGAGTGGCCAGGGCGGTTGCAAATAAAGTTTCGCTGTGTGCAAGGATAGACTCGGATCCAAAAAATTCAATTGGTGGCGAATTTGGAACAAAAGCACGGAAAGAAATTGAAAAGCTAGTGGAAAAGCTGGTCGATAGGGAAAACAAAAAAGAAAAGGCTATTTTTAATAAAAAGAAAAGAATAGTCTCGGTGAAGGAGTATGATGTGTCAAGGGACAGTACAAAGAGAATGAAAAGCCAAGAATGAAGCTGTACTTTAATTAAAACTTTTAGATTTCACTTTTGGCATGGCTCCAAAGGCCCATAGGATAGTATTCAGATTAGGTACTGCTGTCTCGAACTTTGTCTTCTGCAAATACTTATGAGGAGCTTTAATATTGCGCCTACACAGTACTTGCAAGCCCATGTCTTTCAAAATATCCTCTTTTTGAATCCAAATGACTCAAACAAGCAGTTTGAATAGTCAAAAGCTCTGTTTGGTCTGGAATTTACCTTGTTTTCATATGCCATATTCAATAAGCTTTCTATGACAGAGTTTGCTCCAAACGCGAGGCTCTTTTCATAGTTTTGTATTGCATTTTCAAGATCATCAATCAGGTGGCAGATAAATCCCTTGCAGACAAAATAGTAGCTGTTCTTCTCACACTCCTCCAGCGAAGCTCTTGCCTCTTCCAGCTTACCAGTAAAGAGAAGGCAAAACACCTTCAAAATATTCTTTATACTAAATAACTCAAGATACCTCATGGCCTCCTCATACTCCTCATTGTAGATTAGACAGTAAATAAACGAATAGATTACTCTGTAGTCTGTGGGCTTTCCATAAATATTATCAATGCTAGATGTCTCTTGCCGTATGGATCTATGTTTCTTATTTTTTGGGACTTCGTTTATAGCTAGCGAATCCTCCATAAGACTAATACTTCTTTTGAAATAGTGTTTTGCCTTTGGTATGTTATTCATTAACTGGTACTCATACGCCAGGCAATATGCCGGGATATACGATGAGCTCATAATGGAGTAGGCATTGTTTAGAACTTTAACTGCATACTCAGTCTCCTTCAGCTTCGAGTGGCAAATTCCTGCCAAGAGATGACCAGGCCCCAAGTTCTTGTTAATTTCTATTGCTTTGTAAAAACAGCTTAGGGCCTCTTTATACTTTTCCTTTGCCAAGTAGTACATTCCCATTCCCAGATAAATAAACTCACAGTCGCCGAACAGATCAAGATTTCTGACACATACTCTGAATAAAAGAGCACTGCCGCTCATCATCTCCCGTTCGAAGAGAGTTTTATAGGCCAAAGAGCAGATTACTAATGGACAGACAATATTATCAATCGATACATCCCCTGATATTAGAGCACTCATAATACTCCTGAGATGAGTATTGGGTATTTTGTCGATAAGGGCAGCCATTTCCTTGAAATTGCATAGCGATTCCTTATAAAGATATATCAAGGGCTCAATATTTCTACTGTCCCGTTCAAACGATAGTACAAACTGTTGCTTTCTGAGTAGTTCCTTCTTTGACAAGGCTGTGAAGAGTAGCTCGACTGAGGTACTGTCCAGCGTATCAAAAGTGGGCACTTGCACGTTGGTGATTGGTTGAACGGATGATTCCTTTCCAGATCTGACGTAGAGAAGCTTTATTTCCTGGATCTTCAATAAGTCTGTGTTGAGTTCTACAATCCTCTGGATCTCCTTGTGAAAGCCCAGGTGTAAGAGAGACTTTAAGATAAGGAAATAATCAGGTATAGAAGAGTTGGGCAGTGTGCTTTGTGCTATAAGGAGGGAGGACCAGTACAGTTCATGGTTTAAAAATGCAAATCCCAGTTTTGTCATTTCACCCACGTCATTCATTAACTGGGGTGACAATGCAAGCATATAAAAGTGTGTGGAGCATATTTTTGGATGCCAATCTGAAGACGTACAACAATTTATTTATTGCAGGATGGCCTTACACATCATTAATTTTCCTTTGCTTTGAAGCATGCAGTAGAAGAACAGTACGTGAAACTAAAACGTCACAAACATTCCCGAATTCATTATTGCAAATATTAGTGGCCAAACAAACAATATTATTAATTTTGTTATTTGCTACTGTTTCAAAATTAAAACTGAAACCAATTTCATGGATTTTTGATGTCTAATATTAAATGCATTTCTTGCTTTACCTTATTTCTGCATTTTGCAGAAGAAAAGACAGTGTCATTTTAATTTTATGTAGAAATGAAGACAAAGATGAAATTGCAAAGACCATAACCAACTTTGAGGAGAGGTTTAATGCTCGTTACAAATACCCTTATGTTTTTCTAAACGACAAGGACTGGGATAATGACTTCAAGGATAAAATAAAATCAGTCACAAAAAGCCAGGTCAAGTTTGGAAAAGTTCCAAGTGAGGATTGGGACATGCCCAAAAGCATAGACGCGGAAAAAGCCAAAACGAATTGGAAGACGATGGCAATGAAAGGAGTACCATATGCTGAGAAAGAAAGCTATCACAACATGTGCAGATTCTACTCGCGAAGCTTTTATTATCACGATCTTGTGCAAAAGTATAAATACTACTGGAGGATAGAGCCCGGAGTGAGATTTAGATGCAAAATACCCTATGATCCATTTGAAATAATGGAAGAAAAGGGATACAAATATGGATTTACAATTACACTTTTTGAGTTTAAGGACTCGATACCCACACTCTATGACTCAACGTTGGAGTTTAAGAGAAAGTATTCCCATTTAATTCCAAAAGATAAGAAAACCTTGCAGTTTATGTTTGAGAACCGAAATTACAACGGATGCCACTTTTGGTCCAACTTTGAAATAGCCTCTTTTGAGCTGTTTAGGAGCAAAAGCTATACCACTTATGTGGGATATTTAAACCAAAAAGGAGGATTCTATTATGAAAGGTGGGGCGATGCACCAGTACACTCGTTGGCCGTGGCCATGTTTTTAGACATGAGTGAGGTTCATTTTTTCGAAGAGATTGGATACACACACCCTCCATTTACACATTGCCCAACGAATGGAATAGACTGTGACTGTAAACCTGAAGAGAACTTTGATAACAACCAGATTTCCTGCCTGCCGAAGTACCGCAACGATACAAAGTCACAGAAGACCCCAGCAGATGGAAAAGTGGCAAACGATGCAAAGAATGGCAGTGGCATTCATGTCAATATAGAGCAAGGCAAAGATGCCCGTAACATCTGACGATAGAAATTAAACACATTCAAAGCGCTTTTATTATAGTACAATAGACTGTGCTAGAATGCATAAGTCTAAATTAAGTATAAATTAGTTTTTTAATTTTTGAAATCACTTTTGATCTTGTCTTAATTCTCATCTTTCCTTTTTTGTTGAAAAATTAATTTGCCCATGTCTCACACATTCACAAGAAAGGTGCATCGAGGTGAAGTCCAAAAGCAGCTAAACGAGGAAGAGAAAAAGAAGCAAGAAAAGATCCAGCAGGAGCTGTTAGAAGAACAAAAATGGAGCGACGGGCCCAAAACGGCGACAAAGCACGAGCAAAAGATCATAAAGGAGGAGGAAAAGCAGAAGAAAAAGGAGCATCTGAAGCAGCTCTATGAGAAGGAGATGGAAGAAATCTAAGATCAAATATTAAATTTTCTTGATGGAGTTTTATCCTTAAGCTGGGATTTTAGTATATTATTTCTGCTTTTAAGTTACTTTTCTTCATCAACTTTAAAAGAAAGTATAAACATTGAGCTCTACTCTTAATAGTACTGCGTAGTGCAGATCTGTACGATCAGCTTTCTATTTCCAAAAAGTCCATTAAACTTTTGCCTCGTAGTTAATTAACTCAATTTCATCATTTTCAAATATCTTTACGTAAGTTCCGAGACTTTCCTGCACCTCTATATTGTATATTTTGCTTTTGTAATTAAATGACAGTGATTGTGCAGTTTTGTCGTATTTTAAATCTCTAATCTCGCTCACATCTAAGTTCTGGGTATCGAGGATTATCTTCATGGGTATAAATGAGAAACAAGTAATCAACTAACCCTTGTCTGTTATTTGGTATTGCAAACTCAGCTGAGATATTTGTGATTGAGAGTATAAAACCCAGCTGGTGGCTAAGGACGCTTAAATAGTCCATATAATTTGCCAAGCAGATATATTCCTTACTGGCATATTTTCTGTTCAAGATCCACCTTCTCTTTCCAGCACAGTACCTTGCCACCGTCGGATAAGGTATGCAGTTGCTTCAACGATTTATTTTCTCGATCAGTCAATCTAGGAAAATGCTAAACAATAAAATTTCGTTAATGCCAATCTATTTTCAAAAACCAAACAACTAAATGAAATAAAATAGGCCTTTGCATCTAACTTATAGTTTAATTAGATCTCTGTCTCGTAACAAATCTAGTCTTCCTGTCTTCCTTGCTCCTCACTTTGACAATCCTCAAGTGGCATGCACAGCTTATGCAGTGGTTCTCAATGTTGAGGAATGTTGGCACTTCGACATTTTCGTAGACTGTGGCTGCTCTGAAGTCGTCCATTGAGGCTGCCTCGACGACAGGCGCATTGGAAGACCTAGATATTGCCTTGTCCTTGGCCACAGTGGCACCGCACTGGTTGCACTGTACATTGCATGTTGCACCTCTATTCTTTTTCTGTCTGCCGTGGTTTTGTCTCTTGACTGGCATTGGAGTAAAAATTTTTTGAAAATGTAAAGTTGCAAGTAGGTTTATAAGCAAATACCATTGACGTCTTAGCAGTCTTCGTTGTAAAGCTTGCACCTAAACATTTATCTTTTGTGTCCAAAATTTGTCAAAATTATCAGAGACTCGCTGGCATTCTACAATGATACACGCTTATATTTTCAAGGATGAGTATTTTTTTTGCATTTGCAGCCGTAAAAATTTTACCCAAGCAAATGCTTTTCCCACTCTTAGCAAATCAGGTCCTCGCAACTACGACCACTGAGAAGCAAAGTATTACGAACGACGAGTTTTTCGATGCCAAAATCTTCCCTTCCTTTGATAGATTTCTGCACATTTTCTCCGTCTTTTGCCTTTACATTGCACAAATTATTATTGGCATGCCTCTTCTCTGCATCTCTATGTTCAACTTGTGCTTCTTTTTACTTTGCAAAACATTCAAACTTACTCCAAAACGAAAGTTTGATCTTCTAGATTCTTACATTCTGAACTCAGTTGTTATGTGTATGAATCTCAGTAATATTGTTTTCTACTTGATCTATAATACAGTGGCGTTGTTTTCTGGGAACTCCTTTGTGTTGTACTCCATTATTCCATCTGCCTTATTCTGTTTGTTTGAGTATTTTATAATTGAGCAGTCTATTCAAAAGAAAGAAAAACGCAAGTTTTCATATAAGGATTCGCTTGGCATTGTATCTCTGTTGACTCTTTTTATATGTCTCGCCACCTTGCAACAGTTTACTCCTGGCTTTGGAATCGTCAATTGCTTTGTAACCATCAATGTCAGGTCGTTTTGGTTCTACTTTTCCAAGATAATAGAGCATATTCTGTTTTTAGTTATGACTTACTTGTTTTTAGTATCTCACTTTCCACTTACTGGAACACATCCATTTTTTGGTGAAAAAAATCCAGATAAAATTAACGTCGCAGCAGACTCTAAAGAAGAGGATGTTAAATAAGTTAGAAGTGAATTTGCATATAATATGAGACAGTGATGTCCCAGAATTAAATTTATTTTTAAATCCATGTAATGATTTGCCCAGTAAATTAAATCATTCAGGCCTGTACATGAAAACAATATCAGTAATAAAGCCATTTGTGCTGCACTATTCCTCTATGCTCTTTACAAGTCTATCAATATCTGTCCAGCTGCCTTCCACACATGCCTTGACTCTCTTTTTGTACTCTTCCAAACTTTCTTGAAAAAGCTTGGCAGCCTCTGGATTGGCTGGTGATTTTGTGTTTGGATCGTTTAGCAGGCTTTGGATGCTCAGCAGAATTCCTTGCACATCGTATGACGGCGACCATCTACTCTTCAGTATGTCAAGGCACAGATCTCCGTTTGGGTAAATATTTGGGTGGAACATTTCAGATACGAATGTGACTTCTGGAGGATGCTGGGGATATCCTTCGTCAAATGTAAGTACCAAAGAAAAAGTTCCATTTTCAAATGGTGTGTTGTCTGGTCCCAAAATGATTGCTGTCCACGTCAGTAGATCTTCTTCTAGAGGCTGTGCGAATATTCCAATACAGTTCACTTTCTGGATTTCATTAAAATCTTTTAGTAGTCGTCTCTTTGCTGGTGTTGACATGGGACCAAAAAAAACAAAAAATATCAGTTTATCTTGTCACTGGACTGTATTTAGAACACTCCAATTTAGATTTTAACTACCATCAATAACAGTCTTAATCTACAGTATGGAGAGGTATAGCAGTGCCTAGAGCAATTCAGCAAAACAGTAGAAGTTGATTTAAGTGTACATTTATTTGATTTGTTTTACATTCCGTAAGTTTAGAATGCTGTCTAAGATATTATAAATAAGTGGGTTGTTTTTTATATAAAATTTTGCCATTTCAGGTACTGTTTTATACTCGTCAGCTAGCCATACTTCCATTTCTCTTTTAGATTCAAGATATAGAAGGAAAACATTTCTTGTGTACGATCTGACTTCTAGCTGTGCTGCTATAAAGCAGTTCAACAGCTCTTTCTTATGCTCAAACTCAAGAAATGAAAAGCGTGTCCTAAAATAGTCAGGATTGAAATAGTACTGTGGAAGCTTTAAGTGTAGCTCGTGGTCTAGGGATTCAAAAATAGACCACTCTGTCCTTAGTATTTCCTTTGCTGTGAATGCTCCATCTGTTACCACTGAGTATTCTAAAACCCGCTTTGTTTTTGACTCCTCTATCTTGGCTGCCAGAAA